TGCCAGCTGCATTAAAAAAAATATTTGTTAATTATTATCTAACACCAAAAGAAAAGTCCGGGAGACAATAGGGGATGGCTGGAAAACATTTAGTGGAAAAACTCGCAAAGAGACCGTTTGCCAATTTTAGATTAAGAACTGTACAAAACTGCCCGGCCAAAATAGGGATTGTGAATTGTGATACATGAGTTGTATGTAAGACGGAGAAAATGAATAAGGCCTATCTATTGTTTGCTCGGGACTGGACTCTTTGATTTGTTTATATGTTCTTTTTGTTTGTGCTGTAAGTGGCCAAATTTGTATGGATTGAGTTCCAATAAAGCCATAGGCAACAACAAAAATACCTGATTATAATTTATGGAATGTTAAAAATATTTAGTACAACCCAATTCTTGTCATATACAGAAATCATTACTCAATTATACACCTTAACCGCCTGCCCCCACCCAAAAATATTATATTTTTTTAGATGAATAATTATTAATTTCTACTTTATCTTAACAGATATATGTGTAGTTAATTCTTAGGATAAAAGAATGGCATAAGGTAATATTGATTTCGTGTTATTTCTTCATATATTTACAAAATATGTTTATTAAAACAACAGTAGATAGTAATTTTTCTTCCATTTATATTAATCATCAGAATTCTGGAAATCAATAACTATAGGTTTTCTATTCTTATGTCTACGTAAAAGACAATTTTTATTTTTAAGTGCATAATTTATAAGTTATACGACTGAAGAACTTATTTTCTCTCTTTGTGTTGATTCATTTACTAACTTCATTTTATTTATTTTCAAATAGGTGAAATTTGTAGCGCATCATATTTTTGTTTGTTTTATAAGAAATCATCATGTTCTCAAAATTTATATATATACAGGGTGATTATAATTAAAGTCCCACTTTCAAAATGTTGTAAAAAAAGAAACACTAGTCACAATGAATTCAAATTTGAAATGGAGATACTTGAAGTAGGAGCAAAAGGTATAGCATCAAAAAAAAGTTCCACCGATTTTTCCCATCCAATTTGGTATGACCTTGCCGTGGTGGATGGGTGTTCCAGTAACAGTGTCACAACTGTTGAATGACTTGGAAGTCATTTTATCCGTTAAGAAACCGAAACAATCAAGCACATTGGACACTGCGGTTGGTTTAATGTGGTCATGATAAATACATTGTAATTTCGATTCGAAATATAACTGGTAGACGAATTCACTTTCTTTATGCCGCTTACAGCGTCATCTATTAATACACTTTGGAACTGTTTTTGATGCCGTACCGTTACAGCCTTCTTCAAGTATCTTCAATTCAAATTTGAATTCATTGTGGCGAGTGTTTCTTTTTTTACAGCATTTTGAAAGTGGGATTTTAATTATATTCACCCTGTGTGTATATATATATATAGATATATATCGCAATTTAAACCGATATAAAGATTATTTTATTTTGAACAAACTAGAGTGAAACCATAGTTATGAAATTATTTATGTTAAAGTTTGCCCAATTCACTGAATAATAATCTTGCAAAAAAATGTATCATCTAGACTGGAATGCCAAGAAAATCAATCATTTCTTCTTATGCTTCGAGGTCGAATCGTAATTGACTGACCATGAAAGTGAAAGAGCTGAGAATGAATAAAATCAAGATCGTCTAGCCTTGATCTTGATCTATGTAGGCGAACGCGATCCATTTAAAAACTTCGCCATTTTTTAAACAGATATCTAAAATAAAGGCTCAAGTCATTACTCAATCAAGGAAGCTCTTATGCAATTAATTAAAATTCTTTTTTAGTGCTGGAGAAGCATTTGAGAAAATCTAGAATCGATTTATGCCTGTTTCTTGAAAGTTTAAACAGATAAATGATAATACTTTTTTGTAGTTAAAAATGATCCAGTTTTGTTAAAATTGCAATAAAGTTTTAAGTAAGATATTTAAAATGATATAATAAATTTTATCTAACAAATAATATTAGCTCCTAAGGCCGAATGTAAATGTAGTATGTATATCATATTAAATAAGTGTATCAAGTTTTTAAAAATTAGCAAGGAGTATTTGATTACATCGTTATTTGGGCAATCAAAAACTTCAAATTCCTTTCAAGCCAAGGATATATAGAAAATAGAGTTCGTATATACTGGAAAGCTAATAATTAAAAAAAACTTCGTATCTTCACTGAAAATAGAAATAAAAAGAAGCACTTGAAGATATCTTACAATAGTTAATTTTGAATATCGAGTCCATTTATATGATTTAAAATGTATGGATAATTAAAGAAAAGATGACCTTCATTCATATTTAAAATTCTTTCATATGATTAGTTACAAATATAAAATTTTAACATATGTGGTAAAGTTCATTAAAAGTCCACGGTAAAGACCATATTAAAGTCCATGGTAAAGTCCATCTGTTTTGAGCTGTCTATAGCAATGAATATTTATCAAGAAGGTGAAATTTTTGGAATAACTTAATGGGAATAAATTTTTTTCTTCTGGTGCATCGTTGGGCCTCGAGTTTCAATTATGTATGCTATGAACTTCCCATCCACGAACAAAAATTTAACATTGAAAGAGTTAAATAATCTATACTTGAAGATATTTTTCCATGCAAAAATTAATTCATGTTTGCTGTATTTAGTCAAGTTTTCTTGTTGATTAGTAGCATTGTATAACTGTGCGGTATTTGAACATCTTCGCAGAGACCTTTTCATTACTTTAAATTTCTTCAGTACCTTTTTGGATTTTCCCAGAATTTTTTTGGCAAATAAAAAAATTACAGTTTGACTATGGACAACATTGTTGCTAGAGCAACAGCTGGAGCTCTTTAAGGCATCTCTTTTCTATTCCCTGGGTCGCATCTTCAAGTGAACTTCTAATCTTCAAGTCAGCGTATGTTTTTTGAATGAAATTCTTGCTTTTTCATGTGCTGTCTTTTCTTTCAAAAACACCAATGGTATTTTGAATCAAATCACGGAGCTCAAATTTCAGGGAATTATTAAGACAATTGCGGTTATTAATAAATGCAATTAAATCCCTTAATTCATATACATGGCATATAAATTTATAAATAAATTTTATAAAATATTAATAATGAATTAATATTAAATTTCAATATTAGATATATTGAGTTTCATGCTTTTTATCCAAGTACTGTAAATAAACTTCATATATGTTACATATATATATATATATATATACCGAATAATGATATATGTATATATTGATTTCCTATACTGAATACTGAATAATGTTATATATATATATCTATATATATATATACTGAAAATATTGTTTTTTTTTCTGAAACTGGGTGCAACAGATATTTTCGCTAGTAATCAAATGGGTTAAGTATCACATGCAAATTTTGGGTCTTGAGTCTTGAATTTAAATGTCTTGAAGTTATTTTATCTGAAGTAAGTTTACTTCAGATATCAGATTTGATATGTGATGAAAAGTTATGAATGAAGAAACATTTGCATTCCATTTAGATATTTCTATTTCTATTTCTCCAATATTAAATATAACATTGACTTAAAAAATATGGTACTCTGTTGTTTCCTAGATGAATCACTGTTTTATCTTAATAAAGATTCCATATCTTTTGAAAATCTTCATTTTTTCGAAAGGTTCAATCATTGTTTAACGGAATTGGAAAATAATCTCGAAATTTGACTGTTTAGTAGGGAAGAGGAACAAAATAGAGAGATTTAACTCTGTGGAGTAAACAATAACAAAAGTGGAAGAATTAATGGGGTCAAATGTTATGAACTAGCATTATTGGCCCCGTTTTACTAAGCGATTGCATCGTCCATAATATTCTTTGGAACATTTTGTATCATTTTCCTTATAAATTGACATTTGGTTGCTTCTAGTTGCATGACAGACCTTTGCCCTACAATTCCTTGTTTACTGTGAGATAAACATTGTACTGCTGTAGAAAAATCTGTCGATGGATGAGACCCTTTTTCCTCTGGACGGTAACTAAAGGAAAATCGTACTTAATCGTCATCTTCTGATTATATAAGTGAGCTAATTATCATGAAATTTAGAAAAATTGAACTTTATGCAGTTTTTGAATCCCTGCAAATTCTTTTTGAATTGTCATACGATGAAGGTTATTTATATCGTATATATATATATTTTTTGGTGATAATATTTCTCTGGCCTTTCAGTTAGAGCATCACATTTCTGGATTTACCATTGTTTCCCTTTTCTTATTGTCTGTGTTTTTCTTCATTATGATTTTACATACGTTTTTTTTTCGATACAAAGTTCTAAGTCAAGTTACCAAACACATTAAATACTCCAACTTCAAAATTTTATATTTTATATGTTAGTAGGTAGATCTTGTCGAAACAAAGAAAATAAATCATCACATGCTAGGGATTTAACACACAGATTTAAAATTAATGCTTACTTGTAAGGGATTTTTTTTGTACATAAATTTTTAGCACTGATTATGACCATATTATTGCAATGTTGTATGTTTTCCAGCAGAACGCCATACTCGTACTAATTTTTGAAGAGAATATTCATCTATCATAAAAGGTTTGCAAATATGTAAGATTTAGAATTAGTTTATAAATGTATTTATGGCAATAAAATTTCATTTCAATTTCATTGCCATAAATACATTTAGATTATTTAATTTATTTTCTACAGATGTTAAAAACTTTGCAGATTTATGTTAAAAGAGACGTGTTCAACTTTTATATCGTCAAGGTTTTCGAAATATTGGTAATATTTTATTAATATTGACAGTATTGGTAATTAGTAATATAAATATTAGTAATAATAAATATTGGTATTATTATTATTATAATTGGTAAAGCTACCAATAATAATAATAATTGGTAAGGTGATAAATATTGGTAATATTTTATTAATATTGATAGTATTGGTAATTAGTAATATAAATATTAGTAATAATAAATATTGGTATTATTATTATTATTATAATTGGTAAAGTTACTACTACTAATAATAATGATAATTAGCTAACTGCCATACCATGCTGAATATACCGGTTCTCGTTAGATCACCGAAGTCAAGCATCATTGGGCGCGGTCAGTACTTGGGTGGGTGACCACCTGGGAACACCGCGTGTCGTTGGCATTCACAAATTAGGGACCTGAATGGCCGAGTGTCTAGCGCTCTGGCGCTCGGTGCCACAGGTTTCGGGTTCGAATCCCGGCGATGCCATGGATGTTTGTGGTGGTTCGGAATCCACTTTAAGCCGTAGGTCCCGGTCTCCCATGACTGTAAGAGCGTCACGGAGCCAAATTCCTATTTTATCAGCATTTTCCATAATAATTCATAGAAATATATTTTTATTTGTCACATTATTCATTTATCATTTTTGAAGATTATTCATTTATCATCATTTTTTGATGGAATATTTATAATACGTTCAAAAACATAATAGAAGCAAAATTTCGATTAATATGAAAGCTACAAGATGAGTTTAACAATATGAGTTTTCATCTTAAAAAGGCATTTTCATGCATTCTAATTGAAAACGCTTTTCCGAATACAAAACAAATGCTTGCTTACACGTGAAGATAAATTCAAAGTTTGAATCTTACAATAACACTCTAAGGTAAGGCCAAGAATTTCAACCTCTCGTTCTGTAACTCTTTATGTCACAATTTATCATGCCAAAATAACCGCTCAGTTGATAATACCGAAATGAATATTTTAGTAGTTAAAAAAAGCTTGCAAAAAGCGTATTCCTATTTTAGCTGCAACTTAGTACAATGATTGTTGTACAACATGATTAATCCTCGAGATGTTTTGTACTTAACTAAGCATTGATTTGTGGCATATTACTCTGCAATATGATAGTTACCATTAGCATATTTTGATCATTAAAGAGGGCCGCTTTCTCTTTCCTTCAATTACCTTTAGTGGAGATCCTGATCTTCTCATACTTCTCACGGCCTTTGGACAACAGATGATCTGGGACAGAGGTATTCAACCTTCCGCGGTTGAATCGTTGAAAGCGTGAATGGGGGTATTTATGGGTGAAATTTATCTTCATCAAAATGTTCACATGCATGAACATAGACTCTTGACACATTAAATATTCACAGCCTCAATGCGGAAGTTATCTAATTCTGTCTTGTAATTTAAAGAATCAATGTGTTAGTAGTTCAGGTGCTGTTCAGAATCTATGTGGAATTCTCAACCTGATGCTTCAAGTTAAATATATCATTACAACAGTAATGTATTCAAAAATGCAAGGGCAATTGTCTTCGTTTTTTCGTGTGTATAGATATTTCGACAATGTAATTATGATCATGAGCTTAAGGTTATTGTGGCTCTTCGCATGCATTTGTGTGGATTTTTCACGTGTAAATTTGTATTGTTTAAAAATGGTCTCACTTTGATGAAAGTAGTATCATACAAAATGCTTCGTAAAACTTACTTATATTGTAGTAGCAAAAAATAACTAAGCCAATTAGTTAATTTAAGTAATTAATTTGAGAAATTAATTGATATAAATGACTATACAGTTTGGAGGGACAGTTACATGTGGAAACTAACACTGCCAAAGTTAGTATATTGCTTATTTCTTAACTAAAAATTCCTTCATTCCAAACTGTATAGCCATTTATTTCAATTAATTTCCTTAAAAGACGGGTTGGATAGATTCGAATCATGGCTATCTCGGTGAAAGAAGTTATCTGTTTGTTCTTTGTCTCCATTTGATCATAAACACATAAATTTAGACACTGGATTTGACAATATACTTTATTATTCTCGAACTAAGAGAAAGGATGTTTTCCTCATTTATAACACAAATGTAGATCAGTTTACCTTAAGAAGAACGAGCTTGCGGATTGATGGCCGAGTGACCAGCGTTCTGGCGCTCGATGCCATAGGTTTCGTTATTCGAGTCCCGGTGGTTCCATGGCTGTTTGTAGTGTTTCGGAATTCAGTTTAAACCGTAAGTCCCCTTCTAATATGGCTGTAGAGCGTTGGAAGTAGAGCTAACAACTGTACTCCATAAAAAGAAATCATCGCCTGTCTCGAAATCTGCCAGTAGGCAGACGGTCTTGGCCAATCATGGGGTTGTTGCACCAATGAAGAAGAAGAATGAACTTTCTTAGCATTACAATAAGCTTTTCAACGTACAGTTATAGCAAATTAGTTACAGTTATAGTATAAGGGACCTGATAGCCGAGTGGCTAGCGCTCTGGCGCTCGGTGTCACAGGTTTCGGGTTCATGTCCCGGCGGTGCCATGTATGTTTGTAGTGGTTCGGAATCCACTTTAAACTGTAGGTCCCGGTCTAATAGGATCGTAGAGCGTTGTGAGGTAGTGCTACTCGGGTTCATAGCATATCTTCAAGCTATACGTGCGCCCTCGGTAGTGCTCAATGAGTAACAGCTGTGCAGCTCTTGCTTAGGGCATAAAGATTAACTGTCTCTGTATTGCCAGCTGCATTAGAACGACCTAGTATTGTACTTTTCCAAAGCTCATTTTCGTTACTGGATTCGAACTTTCTCCCTTCTCTGAGAATAAAAAAGTTTTTTTTTTGGGTTCTCTTATTTTTTTATTTTCTAATTCCCACCCTTTTTAGGTCTTTAACTTACTTTTAGAAATGAATTTAAACCTTGATCTATTTTTTTTAGTTTTTGTCTTGGTAAAGATTTATTTTTAAACTGCGATATAAAAATAAATGTTCTTTCACGTTAATGAAATAATCACATATTTGTACTTAAATTTAGACATTTACGGCCTAAAATTAAATAAAAACTCACTTTTGGGAGTAACTGTAAATATAGTTTCATAATTCACTGAAATGACCATGAATGCAAGGTAAAATCTAGACGTTTCCGATAATACCAAAATTTATAGTTTTGAAATACTGCTTTGTTTTATTTTAGTATATACTTGTATCGGTATGATTGAGATTAACTCATTTGGTACGCATAAGCTAGAGAATAAATCCTTCAAACTTTCTAATGAATAAAAATTTTTAATTCTATGTCCGTTAAAGTTTATTTTTAATTTATCCATTTCGTTAATTACTTTTCATTCCATCTGAATGATGTCAGAATGCATTTTATGTTTGAGAACAAAGGCAAAGTAAGTTTCGCAGGTGTACTGATTTCTTCTCACTCCTCCTCGTTCTGAAGCATCAATAAAGAATCATTTCGCCGTTCTTTTCTTTTTCCCATTTCCGTTTTCCTCTTGAAAACATTTGCCTGTTTAACAGTGTGTAAAATATTGTTACACCTAAGTGTTAATAGTTAAAATTCACACAGGTGAGTAAACGCCCAATTTTACCTCCGCCTTCCCGCCAAGCCTTAAATAATTCTGCACCAGACAAAACGGAAACCTTTCGTCTTCTACTGTGTGGCGAACGGAAGACCGACCACAATTTTTTTTTGGTTAAAGATTTCATATTTATTAAATTATTTAGTAGGTGAATCAGCAAACCTCTTTAAATATGTTAACATTTTTTGATTTAAATAAAAGATTCAGTAGAAATTGCAGTGCATACTCAGACTGTATGGAATTTTACAATGAACTTCTTTAAGTAGATGAAGCCTGATGGCAAACTGGTTAGCGCTCTAGCCGAAGGCTTCAAGTTTGAATCCTGGCGGTGGCTTGGATGTTTGTTGGTGGTTCGGAATCCACGTTAAATTGTAGGTCCCGGTGCACAAGATGACCGTAGAGCGTCAAACAAGCCAAACCAATTATTCAGTAGATTATTTGATCTTCAAATTTTAGTTTCTTAAACCAAACAAAAAATTATACTAATTTTGAATTTTCCTTCCGAGATATTCACAAATATTTGTCACATATCAAACTGTTGTTGTTGTTGTGTCTAATCTTCAGTGACTTGCAGTGCGGGATGGACTTCCTTTGAGTAATCTGGATGGAGCCTGGCCTCATGGATGGAGGGAAATAGGCAGCTTCTATTGTGATGGAGCACCCGTAAGCAGAAGTCTGACTTGGTTTCGTGTAGTTGAAGAAGAAAGGCAGTGCCTTCCAGGAGGACATTTTAGGGGGAACTACTCCACATTTGTGTATCGTATTAAAGCAAACCCGGAAAACTCCCACCAGGTAGTCCGACTAATTAGGCAAGATTCTGAACATCATAAACGCCCCCGAGTCTCTTTTTTTTAAAACAATGTCTACAACAAAGCCGCCAGCGGATTGAACCTCAGCCCTAATGAAAATTTCATGTAAGTCTCGTTTTTGATAGCAAAGGGCAATATATAAATTGAAGTGAATGCACATTTCGTCAAAAAAAAAACCCTGATTTTATTTCGGAACTTTTTATTCTTAAAAAGAATAATAATAATAATTAAGTTAGAAATGTCCGTGATTAGAGTTATGAATTGTATGTAATGATATCGTCGAGAGAATATTTTATAGATTTAAATATTTTTTAAATATTTTATAAATAGTATTTTGTTCAAAAGAGAAATAATTAAGGTTAAGTTTTGGAACAATAAAGGCTCTGTTAATTATAAATCTATCATATGGATAAGTGAATGATGAATATGATGATGATGAGGTGATATGAATATGATGAGGTGTTAAAGATTTAATACTTTATCATATTCATAAAACTATTTAATTGCTCGATTAGTAGTCCAGCGGTAATGTGCGCAACTGGTATGCAAGTGAGTTCCGCTGCCAATGTTCCTTGCAGTTCCTGCTTTTAGAAGCGACTATATTCGATAATGATTGCTTCAATTCATGTAAAGCGACTCGCATCCATAGTAAAACCGACTTGCGAGAGTTTTCCGAATTTCTCACATACGGCATGCAAATGTGAGGTAGTTACTTCTAAATAAGTGCTTCCTTCATTGCTTATCATTGAGTGGCCTACATAAATAAAACACGGAGCCCACCGTTACTTATTTTAAAAAAAGCGGCGTGATGGCCAACTGCCTAGCACTCTGGCCATTGGTACCACAGGCTTCAGGTTCGAACCCTGGTGGTGGTATGGATGTTTGTGTCAGTGGTTCCGAAGGTCCTGTATTATGTAGGTCCCGATCTAATTAGCCTAAAGTGTGCAAAAAAATGACCGTAGAGCGACAAAAAAAATATATATTCTATTTAAAATTCATTCTATATAAATTTTATTC